CCATCTTTTCAAACTCCTTAAGACAAAAGTCACCATACCAACATTACTGCATAAATGTAGGAGGGGGTTATATAATGATTTCAGTGTCAATCAAATTGGGAGAATGGGTTTCCTTAGGAAGTATGCAGACAGAAGATGAAGACTGAGGTGGGGAGAAATCAAAGAGATTGGAAATTGGGGATTGGTACACTGGAAGACATCCTATTAATTGATTAGGGTTAACTGAATTTTGTCTAAAACCTAAGTGGTACAGATAAATGTAACGTGACAGGAGTACACAAACAATTTTAATGATGCCTGACATCTTAATTGTGATAAATACAGTCTGCGGCAAAATCTACATGTTAAATGTGGGAAGTTAAAAAACATACAATATTGAATTTTGATCTTCAATCTATGGCCTGCCGCTTTAGGGACATTATCTCTGTAAAACAATTTTTTGATTAAAGTAAATTGAGAGATCAATGGCTTGCACTCTCAGCCAATATCCATTAACTGAACAATCTTGTACAATCTGGCCAGATAAACGGATTGTACTTTTCAATTTTGTGACAACTCCGATTCCCTTTGATAAGCATTGCTACTTTCCCACCATGCATGACTTACTAGAATGATCTTGTATTATGCAAAATAGACAGATTGTACTTTACATATTTGTATCAACTCTAATTCCTCTAGATAGTTAATATGGATATGTAAATACAAATGCCAAAAGAGTATGTAAAAGTAAAATGGCAAAAAAGAACAGGCCCGTAGCCAGGGGGGGGGGGGGGGGGGGTTCGGGTGAACCCCCCCCCCTTGGCCAAAGGTTTTTTCAAAATCATGCAGTTTTTGACCATTTTGAGCACTTCTCTAGTCACAGGCTGGTATCGAAATATTTTTCCGCTGTGACGGAGCATACTATTTTTCATAAAAACACTAAGAATACTTCACGATTTATTTTTTAACTCATATGTTTCGTTATACCATACAAAATTACTTACTCCATGCAATGGATATATCATTTGCGGGTAACTTTCACTTCTGTTTGAAGTCCAATTACGCTGGGAAGAAAAGCTATTGAAAATGGCGCCGGAGTATCATACTTCAAAATGTACCATTTCTTGTTTAACTTTCTAATGGCACGATATAGTGACACGATAATATTTACACATGGTTTCAGCATAACTATGAAGGTATAAATGAGATGTTGATGTATATTTGGTCTTTTTAATTATTTTATAAAAAATAATGTTTAATTTTTTTGTCCGCTGTGACGGAGCAGTTGCAAATGTGAACTGTGAAAATGCTCCGTCACAGCGGACAAAAAATATTAATATTATCAAAAATTAAAAAGACCCAATGCATTAATATCTCATTAATACATTCAGAGTTATGCTGAAAACATATGTTAATATTATCGTGTCACTATATCATGCTATTAAAAAGTTAAAAAAGAAATGGTACATTTTAGAGTTTGATACTCTGGCGCCGTTTTCAATAGATTTTACTCCTAGCGTTATTGGACTTCAAACAGAAGTGAAGATTACACGCAAATGATATATCCATTGCATGGAGTAAGTAATTATCTTTGATATAGTGAAACATATGAGTTAAAAAATAAATCGTGAAGCATTCTTAGTGTTTTTATGAAAAATAGCATGCTCCGTCACAGCGGACAAATCTTTCGATACCAGCCTGTGCTAGTGATTTTAGCCTAATTTGGGCCAAAATTGTCAAATGTGAACCCCCCCCTTGAAATTTTTGAAAATTGAACCCCCCCCCTTGGCAAATCCTGGCTACGGGCCTGAAGAATCATAACCAGTTATAAGGAAAACAAATCCCAAATATACCAAACTATGATCTGATGCCCAAAGAACAATGTTGGGCACTTTGTTGCCATTCAGGAATAAGTTATTTGCATCATTCAACCATTATTACTGCATCAGAATATACAAACTACCTTTATGTGTATTAGTCTATATACATGTATTTGGTGATGGCATTTCAATTTTCTAGTTACATCTGTCAATGTGCATAACTTTTATAAACTCTTTAATTGAAGCAGAGCTTGTTTTTCCATTTTTCTTCTCTGCCATTTCTTGTAACATGTTGATAACACAGCACTCTAACATCATGGTATTTATGTAAGCACATTAGGTATTCTTGCTGCTCCCCTTAGTGGAATGGTAATTGAAAGATCCAATCCACAAGGGAGGATTTAAAGACAAATCTGTTTTTAATTTCTCGAGTGACCATATTTAGACCAATCAAAAACGGTTTGATGATCTTATTATTCCAAACAAAACATCTTTTTAAGTTATGGTTTTTGCATTGACGTCATAAAGCAAAATAGTAAGAAATCCAGGAACTCAAGTTATAGCCACAAATGTTAGATTTCTGCATAAAAGGGATGTCAATACATTTTGAATGCAGAGGTAGTAATTGGGCTATAAAATTTGAATCAAATCTAGTGACTGATATTTGTTATCAACCAGACAGAAGGATGGACAGATAAATGATTGAATGGCTTCTCAATATCCCTATTTAAACTTTATGTGATAGAATTATTACATATTCAATATGTGACAATAATGTCATCTCTTGATTTTGACACCCAACCTGCAGATCAGAAAAAACAATCCATATGTGGTATATATGAAAAATAGTAACTTAAAAAGCACTAAGGAAAAATTATAAAACCACCACAAACCCCTAGAAGTTATCAAAGTTAAACAAGAAGAGTATAATCCATCTGAATGTATGCATTTTCATCCTAAGGCTATTGAAGAACTAGTTCATACACTTAGTGAAAGCATCTGAATGTTACCTTAAAATTGTGGGTTTATGGAAATTATTTCTGTAGATTCCATGCCTGTTATGACAATCACATTCTCAATATTGACGCCTCTTATTGGGTAAATAGACCATAAATAGTGCTGTAATCTAATCGTAAACCTCATTGAATAAACTGACCCACTCATTGTATGAGTAATCATCATCAGAGGGCTTAGGCCAATAAAACCATTGGATAGAATACTCTCAAAACTGTCACTTGAGCAAAGTTGTTATTTCAGATTTTCTCTTTTATGAGCAAAAGAAGGAGATAACTGCAAAAGGGATTGTATAAAAGGACAATGAACTCAGAATGCCAATTAGCCTGAGGGTTCTCAAAATGCTCACCATAATAGTTCCTCCTGGTACCATTTGGTCAAAAAACATAAGAAAATGATGTACTGAAGATATTTTATTTAGATCTTTTTATTAAATGAAAGAAGTTAATCATTTATTTTTATTTTTATTATAACATTTCTTTATTTCAAAATAATTTAATATGCATGCAGAAAATATTTGACAATCCTTATGTCACCAAAATGAGAATGAACAAGGGGAAAGCTGTTGTTGTAGTAGAAAGTGGAAAGTGGAAAGAAATGAGGGTAACTTGTAAAAGTATTGAGGTGTCACTGAGTGATCTGACACTACCAACTTGACTCTACTTTGATCTCATAGTTTGACATTAACTTTCTTTGTTCACTTTCTCAAACAAGATAACGCTTTCTGTAGGGGACCAATTGCAAACGTCAAATCTCACAAATTAGTCACATACTCAATCTCCAAAGAGAATTAATTGAGAAGTACAACTCGTTTTTCAATTAGACCATGTAAGGCTTGTTGTACATACTTGAAAGTTATCGATTACAGACTGACTACAAAAAGTTTGCAATTTATTCCTGTTTGCCAAGCTATCAAAAGGCCTCCAATACACACTGGGAGTTTGCATTTCGAGACCCCCAATTTCCTGCTCTTTTCTGCTCATCATGTCCATGCATTCATTAGGAATTAGCAACTGATTCATATCAGTGCAAGTCAGTTGTATGGGCAATGTTAAGCATAAAGCGTTGAACTCATATTTCAATGACGCATTTAGCTTGGAGCTCATGCTAAATTCACTTCACATCGATGAAGATGTTCATCTCTTCATTCAATGACATTGTTCCTTTAGAGGAAAACACCTTAAATAAAATTTATATGCTCTTCAAGCTTTGGTTTATTCATTTGTTGCAGTGACTAATAGAAACAAAAGAAATGGACTACAGAACCATTATCCAAGTGTACAAAACTACAGAATGACCAGGATTTTTTAAACAATTGTCAAAAATCAGAAAATCCTCCTGATTTGCCTAGACTAGATAAGGTGATTTATTGTATATGTGAAGTAATTTATAGTATATGATTTAATTTCAGTCGAGACATACTCTTACATCAAGCAGTTCCAATACAAAAGTTGTGAAATTTGGGTCATTTCTCTCTTCTATAATTTGACATTGGTTGCTTTCTATTATATAAAGTATCATATTTGAAATTTGGATTATGGCAATGGCTTTGTGGATGGATTTTGACACTTTGATACATTTATGGACTTCAAAACTGGATTTTGTCTGTCCCACATCATACAAGACTGAGTGCCCTATCTTGTATGTTAGTATGTATGTATCTAGTATAGTATCTACAGCTATTTTTGATGTTATGAGTATTGGTTATCAATTTATATTTATTCTTCAACATGTACTCTTATGGTTTATGTATGAATGAAATGTCTCTTGGAGTTATTGTCCTGAATTGTGATAATAATGCTTGAATAATGGGGGAAGGATATAAGATATTGTTTCTTTTCACTCAACTTTAATTTTTCATAACTGGGATAATTGTGTTTTTTTCATTATGACTGGTGTGCATTTAGATGCTTTCTTTCTTTTGCTGGGTTCTGCAACAATTTTTGTCCTTCTCCTTTGGCACTTGTGCATACATGTATTGACACATCTGTTGATCAGAAAAAATGAATGGAGGGGGAGTAACTGATTTATATTAGAAAATTTACTGCCCCCTCCGTTCACTTTCCCTTACATTCAATTCTAATTATTTTCAATTATTTTTTCTATAACATATGGAAACTTATTCTAAAAAGCCAGAAATGACATCATTTTTTGATAATACCATCAGTTACAAAATCACATACTCACCATTGGTGTCTATATATGTTTCCACAAAGGCCTTTGCTAATTCATCACTTTTAGTTAACAGTTGAGCCAGTTCATCTGTTGTAAAAATATGTTTGCTGAAATCAGAATAAGTTGGAATATAAATTAAGTATATTTAAAACCATTAAAATAGTATAATTAAAAAGCAGATTTTTTCGTCACCTGCAGGTTCCCAAGGGATTTTATTTGTGACAATTATATCCGGTGCTCTGGATATTAACGAGAGAAAATATCAAACCCATAAACAAGTCAATGAGTCTACCCATATTATCCAACTGTCACAATGACCATCTTATAGTTGAATCCTTTTAGTTGAGTAATAGCTTTTATGCCACAATTGCATGACCAGACCAGAAAACAAGCAATAGTGTCAAAGTGTTTTATGTTTCATGTCAATGTGTGTAAATACATCGACCTTGACCTTGAAATTTTTTTACTTTTTCCGACCTAAAGTATAGGGATTTTGTGATTAAGCTGAATAAAATTTGTATATAATTATATTAAACAAAGAGAAAGGGGAACAAAATTCAAAGTAACCATGACATATAAACAATTCGAACATGACATAATGGCAGACCATATAATGAATATTCGAGTTTTCATGTTCGAATCATAATATAGACCTCAGAGCAGGTGTAATATCATCGAATACACCCCTTGGGGCTAGGCACAAAAGCTTTTGAATCTTTCAGCATTCCTTTTTATGTTCTTCTCCTCAAGCATCATCCCTTTTCCACTGGGTCTAGAGACCCTGTGGTATAAAAGGTCAATTTGTTTCTCAGATTCATATGTGGTGGTTCATGGTCTGGTGTTAAGTCCACGGACCCAATCAGAACGCTCTGCTTCGTCATGTGACAAAATATTGAAAATGTCAATACAGACTAAAATAACTAGACAACAGCAATGCCAAAGCGCAGCAAATCCCATCGAACAGCCATTACTGGCATTTTTATGAACAAAATATGTAGCAAAAATGGCCGCCATTTTTCAAAATGGCCGCCTTCTACCAAAAGTGTCATAAGCCAGTGTGCCATGCTTATAGTATTCACATACCAAATGCATGGTTTACTATATGACCGCAGTCGACGGTCTATTACCGGCGACTCTTGCAGTTAGCCTGGTCCACTGACAAGGAAAAATCAAAAATCGAAGACTAAAACACCTCAAATCCACATTCAAGGTCTTCTTGACACGCGTATGGTATATAGGAAGCAGAATGTTGGATAGAACGTTAGGTGAAAATGGGGCTGGAATCCAATGACAATATCACCGGGAAATCATTAAAAGGTACGTGAGCATTTTTCTATCAATGTCGGGAAAAGATTCCCGGGGATTTAGGATACCAGTGATTGTGAATATCGGCAGAAATTAGGTACATCCGGGGGTTTTCTTTGTAGCTAATGAAAATAGATGTTAGCCTTGTTGAAATATCCAAACTTCGATCTATTTTGACATCAGGTCCATGATCGTTGGATACGTCTATGCACTATTTACTCAACCTTTAAATGAGCGGCCATTTTGAAAATCGGCTCTCGATCAGAACTTCTACCCCCATAGGGTATATGTGTAGAAATATGAACAAAATCGGGCCAACGGTATTTGAGTTATTGCCTGGACGGACGGAGGCATTCCCTATATCCCTCTGAACTTCGTTCGGTGGGATAAATATTACATCATTGATTGGCTGATTGGTTTTGTGGTGTCTAAGATTTATCTGGTGAGGTAGGAACAATTGAAACCTTGTGAATCAAGACGCTCCTGAAATCCAATTTAAACTTCTGGGAACTTTTAATAATTTTTTAAAAATTGGTCAATTTGAAGCAATTTGATAAAATACCTTTTCGACTTGGAGAAAGTAATTGAAGGTCAAATCTAAAGTCAGATTTGAACTTCTGAGAACTTGTACCATTAAATTTGTACTTGGTAGATAAAGGAGTGGTATCGATATGGAGAACTGAATTCAACAATGTTTTTCTCTTAAACCAATCATTGAAAACATTCTGTAAAAAACACGGTATTTTATGTAATGTTGACTGATTGGCAACAATTTAATGAGAAAATTATTTAGAAATATTTTATATAACTGTTTTGGTTAACATTTTTTGTTTTTCTAGTGCAATTGTTTTTGCTCCTTTCTACCAATTCTTGAGAATGAAATAAAATGTCTTTCCGAACCTTGTTGGAACAAAATAGCATATACAACATGTTTTTAGACCTCTCAATATTATAGTTATATAAAGGAATTTTTGGTTGATTTTAAAAAAGTATTCAAAAAGTTAAAACAAAATCCCTCCAAAATAGATAAAAATAAAGATAAACCTTTTATTTCATTAACAAGATACTTTTTTAAAATCAACCAAAATTTCCTTTGTACAATTACAATATTGAGAGACCTAAACATGTTGTGTTTATGTTGTTTTGTTCCAATGGGGTTCGGAAAGATGTTTCATTTCACTCTGGAAACATGATACCAAGAACAAAACAAGTGTTTGATGTGTTTTCTAAAACAAGATGAAAGTATATATATATTTTTCCAATTATATTGTTACCATTCAAAAGATGACCATTAAATTGACAATGTGTAAAATTTTCAGAATTTTTTGATGACTGGTTTAAGAGAAATGTGTGTTCAAAAAGTTCGCCATATCGATACCCATCCTTTGAGTCTAAACAGTACTAGTTAAGTTATTGGAAGTTTTAAGAATTTGTTACAAATAGGAAACATCAGATACCAACCAATGAACACTGTCAAAAAAAAGATGGAGAACATAACACTTTTGGTGGTGACATAAAAATGCCTAAAAACTAAACAACTCTAGATTCTTAGAAATTTAAAATCAATCAATCAAGTTGTTAAGACAAGGAAAATCAGATGCCCCCCTATCCACATGATTGACAACAATTTAATCCCTTTAGAGGTATGAAAATGGCTCAGATGGTGATTTGTATAATCTTGAAGAGCCAATGGTGTAAATTAGTGCATTTAGTTGAGATGACTATCTAAATGTCACCCATTCCTTTACAGGCACATCTGGATTCTACATAAAAAGTGTCACATAGCCTTTTTAACATTACTTTGTTTGTGTCATGCAGTACAACCTTTTGCCAACTTGAAACTAAAACTAATATGCATTTACCATTTCAAAACTTTTCATTTCATTTCAAATATTGTAAGAGACATTTCAAACAATTCCTTTTTTATTTTCAGTCAAAAGAGAATTGATCAATAGGACTTGAACAAAAAAGATTATTGCTATGAGGATTCAGACTAATATTTTTATCTGACCAATTAGAAATTGGATAAAGAAGCATTGGAATTTGGAGGAATGGATTTTGGATGGGTGAGTTTTGGAAAAATAGAATTCCAGCCAATGGAATATGTTCAAAGAGGGGAAAAAACAGCAAAAGAGATGTTGACCACCATACTTAAGATCCTGCCTCTAATGCCAGAGATCTTGACCCAAAAATTGGAAATCTTAAAATGTTGATTATCCTGACAAAACTAGAAAAACAGCAACTCCACGGAGTAGCAAATCCCACCGAACAAAACATATTATGCTTATTATAGCTAGTGTAAATGTTGAAATGTTTGTGCACTTTGTGATAGAAGCATGAAATTTGGCACAAAGTTAGTTTATACCATTGAACCAAATCCGTTCACTGGTATATGAGTTATCAAAGATTACGTTTTTTACAAAAATTGGCCCCCATCTTGAAAATTATTTCTTGAACAAAGTTACTGTGTCCCTAGACATAATCATATAAAATTTCAACCAAATCTGTTCACTGGTAATTGAATTATCAAAAATTACGTTTTTTACGAAAAATTGCCGCCATTTTGAAATTAAGCGGCCATCTTGAAAATTTTTTGTCGAACATAGCTACTGTGTCCCTAAGCATCATCATATAAAATTTGAACCAAATCAGTTCACTGGTATTTGAGTTATCAAAGATTACATATTTTTACGAAAAATGGCCACCATTTTGAAATTAAGTGGCCATCTTGAAAATCTCTTTTTGTGCGAAACTCCTTTGTCCCTAGGCATCAGCATATAAAATTTGAACCAAATCCGTCAACTTGTATTTGAGTTATCAACGATTACATTTTTTATGAAAAATGGCGGCCATTTTGAATTGAGCGGCCATATTGGAAATTCCTTCTCAAGCAGAGGTCCTACACTCATAAGACATAAGCCTATAAAATTTGAACCAAATCCGTCAACCGGTATTGGAGTTATCGCCCGGACACACAGACAAACGAACGGACGTCATTTGTTGTTGCTGCATTGGTTTCTTCATTCATTTTCTTCTTGCTTTGTCTTGATTTGATTGCGATGTTACTTATCTTTCTTCAGGGTCCACAGACTTGAGACTGCGCATAGGTGGGTTAAACGTTTTGATTCGGCCGGAAAACTCTCCCCTTCCCCTTACTGTTGGTACGGACGGACGGCTTCTCTATATCCCCCTCGAACTTCGTTCGGTGGGATAATGAGATCTGTACCAAATAGGCCTGCTGAAGATCTTAAAAGTATATGAGGTAGTCTCTGTGGACAGGGAAATTTTGCAGCTAATGTTTTTGACTTTGTGATAATACATTCCTCTGCACTCAATTTATTTCTATAATGAAAGGACAAGTCTTGGTTTGGATATAACTGGGCTAATAATTTTTTTATAAAAAATAGAAAGAAATAACACCCAAATTAAATTGTGAATATTCAAAAGAGGACATTAAAACCTACATTATGTAAAAATATCAAAATTGTCCGAAGCAGGCGTAACGTGCAGTAGACTGATTCAATAAAGGACAATTCTCGGTTTGGAGAATGAAGTTCACCAGTCTACTGCACTAATTATCTTTTTATGAAAAATATAATTAAATTACGGATATTCAAAATATCAAAATTGTCTAAAGCAGGCATAATGTGCGGTAGGCTGATGAATTTCGTTCTCCAAACCGAGACGTCTTTTATAATAGTTGACCTATGAATGGTACTTCGATAACTGAGGGAGCCATTAGCCAACTGATCAGTTAGGTTATAATAATATAATTACAAATCATTGCCAAATTGCTTTGAAGTAACAAATCAATAGAGCACAATCAGAACAGCAGAACAGTGCTTGTTAAATCAGTGAACATCAATGACACACATATCACCAGTTACACTGTCACACACAGTAGAGTGACATATAGATATTTAGCCATTTATATTGAAATTTTTCATCTCAATATATACACTATTTCAGTCACCATAATGTCAAAAGAATGGCAGGTCATTGTGACATATTTATTTATTTAGAAAATTATGACTTTGGGCAAGGTAAGAAGAAGTCATTGTGACATATTTCTTCATTTGAAAAATTATGACTTTGGGCAAAATAAAAGTCTAAAAGTTAGAATCCAAGCTAGGACAAGTTCATCTGTATATATCAGCTCACTAATTAACTCTGCCACCTGCTATCAATACTTGTAGAAGGGGCAACAAGTCAACTCACCTATTTTTGGTATTATAATCATATGGGAAGCCATCATTACGTTTGCCATAGCCGTGACTGAATCGTGTACCTGCGCCTGACCTGAATCCACGTTTCTGTCTGTTTGGTGCGGGCACTGCCTCTATGGCTAGCACAAGGACTCCAATCACCAGGAAACATAGTCCTATCTTCATTGCTCAACCCTGGAAGATGTAAAGCAACAAGGTATGTTTTAATCATAACGATAAAGAAATTGCAAACAGTTGATATCTTGTCATACATATTTTCAAAGGAAAGAAATAATTCTGACTGCTTTTGATCTTTCAGATTATTTTACAATAATGTCATCCCAATTCTAACGAATTTAGACATTTCTTCATCTTAATTCTTCAAATTCAGTTTCAGGTATGAACATGTTTAGAGATAAGTAGTAAGGTGACATAAAAATTACACCAAACATACAGAACATCTAATAAAAAAATCATTAAAGTATAAGGCCTATTTTTGATAATGTGACCTAAAAAGGCCTAAAAGGCCAAATTATGCCCAAAAAGGCCTATATTTCTTTAAATATATTTTTTCTGGGCCTAAAGGGGGGGGGGGGGGGGCATGGACCCCTCTGGATCCACCAGTGATACATAACATTTAATTTAAACTGATCATAATGTTCCCATATTTAACCTAGATAAGTAAACTGTTTCATTTCTAGCAGATACACAGAATGGACACTTAACAAATAATGAGATTTCCAAGTGGCCAGGATAATAATCATTATTTATCGGTCAAAGACAATTGTCTTTTACGTAAAATGGACACACATAAAAGTACTAAACTTTCTCTATTGCATGTAAGACAGCACTGCCAATTAAATCCCAAATGAATATGGTCCATTCAATGATCATTTGGGTGAAGCAAACCTGTACCAACTATGCAAAGTTTAACCTCAGATTCCACAAGCCAAGGCCTGAATTAATTTGTTTGTTAAGGCAGTAGTCTTTTTGCTCTGATTAAAATGCAGTCACCATTCATAGACAAATTGATTCATCTATGAGAGACATATAATGACAATTTCAATCACATTTTTTCACTACTATGTTTTCCTTTTCAATTTTGTTATAGAGCAGTAGAAAATTAAATTAAAAAACAGGTTACATATACACTGGATGCTTTTGCATTGAACAATAATAACACAATTAAGGCCAACATTTTGGAGGTAAACATCCAAAGCAAAACCATTAACAACAATAGCGAGAAACAATACAAAACAATAGCGGGATATAAGAAACTGCAAGGGATCACCTATCCTGGATTAATCAAAAGAAGTCATTAACATTGATTACAACTATGTTTAATAACTGAAGCAAAACTTCCAGATTTGTCAGAAAAGATGTGACAAGTAATTATATCTCAATGATTCTCATCTTTATTGACTTCAGAACTGATTTAACTCAAACTTAAGCACTTTTTCTTGTAAAATCCTTCTGGGATACCCAGTTAGTGCAACTTAAGGCAACCAATGCATTTACACATTAAAAAGGTTCAGACATCTCCAAGTTATGTTTCCATAAGCACAAAGTTATAACTATACAGATCCCAAAATTTTCTATTTCAAAGATATATAACTTAACTTAAAATGTTCATCTCTCATTCAGAATGAATAGCAGGTTTAAACATCTCCAATATGTTTTCGTAAGCACAAAGTTATAACTATACTAAGAAGAAACCTAAAAGACAAGATTAACTTTGAAAACATGAGAAAATATGAATAACAGATCCAACAATATCACGCGGTACTAACTCACATCATTTTGGAGGTAAACATCCAAAGCAAAACCATTAACAACAATAGCGAGAAACAATACAAACCAATAGGGGGATATAAGAAACTGCAAGGGATCACCTATCCTGGCGTATCGGACCCAAAACGCCCCGCAAAACCATTAATTTGAATTTTAAACCTACCCTTTCTTTTGAAAATCAATGATTGTGAGTCTCACAGTACACCATTTTTCTTCAAACTTGTTCCATTAAAACCTTCACCGAAATACCTTTCACTCGAGACATTGCTTTTGTGTACAGAGTCGCTCGTTTAGCGGCGTTTTGGTCCCCAGCTGTGAGAAGATGCAAATCTTCAGAGATTTCAACCAAAAGCCGCGATATATCTCGAGTTCTTTTATTATTCTCCCCTATTTTGCACAAGGACTTCCATTACAACCATCCATCTCTGCATCAACATATTTATTACATTAAACGCAGCAATTTCCAAAAGTCCGACACATCTGTTCGAAATTGATCAAAAAGCCCCATTCTCTTCCAAAACGCCCCGTTGGATCTATACACCTTGAAACTACACGTTTGTAGTCATAGACTCTGCGGGGCGTTTTGGAAGACAACGGGGCATTTTGGTCAATTTCGAACAGTTGCGTAGGACTTTTCAGAATTGCTGCGTCTCATGTAATAAACATGTTGATGCAGCCATGGAGGGTTGTAATGGGAGTCCTTGCGCAGAATATGGGGGAGAGTGATACAAGAACTGGCGAGATACATGTATCAAGGATTGTGGTTGAAATCTCTGAGGATTTGCAACTTCTCACATCTGGGGACCAAAACGTCGCTAAATCGAGGGACTTTGTAAACAAAAGCAATGTCCCAACTGAAAGGTATTTCTGTGAAGGTTTTAATAGAATAAGTTTGAAGAAAAACGGTGTAGTGTGAGACTCACAATCATTGATTTTCCAAAGACAGGGTAGATTTGAAATTCAAATTAACGGTTTTGCGGGGGGTTTTGGTTTCGATACGCCCCGGTTAGTAAGTACTGTGTGAATATGTTCTATTTCAAAGATAACTGTACTTGTAATGTTCAGCAGTCATTCAGAATTGATAGCAGGCTTAAAGAAAATATACGTAATAATAAAACCTAGTTGAGCCCTGATGACCCGAATGGAAATGTATTTGTTTTTGGATTACAAAGGACGATTCTCGGTTTGGAGAACGAAGTTCATCAATCTAAATGAGCATTATCCCTGCTTCGGACAAATTTGATTTTTTTTACATAATATAGATTTGAATGTCCTCTTTTGAATAGTCATAATTTAATTTGGGTAATATTTCTAGATTTTTCTCAAAAAAATATTAGCGCAGTACACTGATGAACTTCTTTCCCAAAATCGAGACTTGTATTTTATTAAAATCGGTCTAATTGAGCGTTATCCCTGCTCCAGACCAATTTGATATTTTTACATCTTGTAGATTTAAATGTCCTCTTTTAAATATTCATAGTTTAATTTGGGTAATATTTCTATATTTTTCATGAAAAAAATATTAGCCCAGGAGACTGTTCTCCAAACCGAGAATCGTCCTTTGGCTATTGATTTCAGTCTGAGAATGGATTCAAACTGACATTTATGCTATTTATGTGCACAGATATGAGAAACACCATGGCTATCATGGTATTTGTCTGATATTGAATTTTGATCTCTTGTAGCAGGACTTCCCATAGGTGGTGTGTTTTTTCTATTATTGGACAGACCTTTCCAACTTGAACCTATTTTGGGATTCTCTTGTGAATAAAATGTCAATGTTGTGACTTTGAATTATATAATTTAATTTTGCGATATAAGGTGAATGAACTTATCAAAGAGCAGAGACTTTGCATTAAAATCTGTGTAAAACAAGGAAAAGACTTTGAGGACACTGTAAGAACATGTAGAGCAACATATGAAGACACCTGTTGTTCCTATCCCATGATAAGAAGCTGGTTCAACAAGTTCAAGAAAGGCATCTCAACCAGCGAGGATTGGCCAAGAAGCGGGTGAAAAAGGACAGAGATAATAAAAGAAAACATTGACTTAGTGAAGGCAATAATTGAACAGGAAAATGCCTAATTATGGATTGGATACGGAGGTTTAGAAAGTGTATTCTATTTGGGGGAGAATACTTTGAAGGAGATATAGAGCCATGGCTTAGGCCCTCTGGCTTAATGTTGTGGGAAAGATAAGATAGGTCCATGGACTGCACATTGTGGTTGGATACATTGATGGTGACGTAAAAGTATCCACATTCAAACTGCTCCGCGGTATCAATCAAACGGATGTAAAACTGTGGCTATAATATATTACATGCTATAACTTTCACAGCTTAATAATAAATATTCAAACTATACATCCTGGAAGTTTTGTCTTGTTCTGATCATTCCTCGTATTTTTAGAGCAAAAAGAAAGGAACTTTTCAAATTTGCCCTCGTATTTATGTAAATTTAATATCCACCCCATTAGTTGATGTACTTTAGTGAGATTGATTTCTAACACATATATACTTTCCTCTGTTGCTGCCATTAATGTTTTCCAAAACATAATTTTCATAGCTTATTTAAATGTTCTGTACATACTTTCATTACAAAGACAGCAACAATGTGAGAAACAAATGCCATTGAAGAACCACTATGTAAAATACACAGATTAATACAATATCAGGAACAAATGAAAATTGACTGACATGTAAATGTTTCATCCTTTTATTATCATATTTTAATATCTTCATTAATTACAATGATCCTTTAATAATCCTTTCCTTGGTGGAATCATGGATACAGCTGAGTTAATTAAAGAACTACACTGACACAATTAAAGGACAGGATAATAAATTGGTGGGGACCAGTTTGGTCATAGCAGATAAAGGTTAACCAGATTGTCTGTGAAGCAATCAACACCAGACACATTTCATGTCCTCCAAAATCAAAGCTTATTAAGAAATACATCTGTCACACCTGTTTCAATAGAACAAGATATTGAAGTCTCCAAATTACCATCCAATTATTTTTGGCAGGTATCATAAAATGTTGAACACTAAAAAGACATGCTCTAAGATCTACAACAATGATACATCTGATTCAGTGTTCACTAGACACAGGATAATTCAATAGATTTTGCCAAGCTTTAGTGTTCACTGAAGGAATGTACTTCAGTGGAGTCGATGGGAGAAAAAGGCTGAGGAAAATGCACACTGTTAAAGAGGGGTTCACTAATACAATTTTTAAAGTATATACTCTGCAAAATCTTTCTGTAATTAGACTATTAGAATTGTTAGAATGTTGAAATGACCATTGCGAATATTGCCTTCCTTAGAGGAGATACAATGTAATGGACAATGAAGCATGATTTATATCCTTTTAAAGTGACTGAGCTAAGTAATTATTTCTAAATAATAATTTCTACACATTGCTTTATAGACTCTTTTATCATCTCCAGTCTTCTATATTTCCTGGATTATCATAATGTTTTTGAAGAATCTTAATTAATGAGAGAAGTCAACCTTAGACTTGGACTTTCTTGAACTAGCTTAAAATGTTTTATAATACTAAAAATAGCTTGGTCAAATAACCTAGTATATAAATCCAGATGATGACAAATAACACCAAATAAATACAAAACTAATCAATGTTCTCTTGGAGGGAGGGCATTATCAGGTAAACTGTAAACACTGATATAATTAAAACAATGTAATAGAATGATGACTAATCAGGTAAAGTAAGTTGATTAGCTCATTTAAAGTATTTCCCTTATCCTCAGAACTAGCAATAGGTACAGCTTATAACTTAGAGATACAGCCCTTTCTCATAATAATTGCCTCAGTATATTGTCTAAATATATTGAAAATGTAGATTATTACTGTCTTGCAAACCACTAAGAGTACTTGGAATTGCCAGTCCCAACATATGCCTTATGGGGTCATGATCCTTAACCACTAGTGATGATATTTCAATAGAAGAGGCTTTATGACACATAATACTAATATTTGTGAAATATTGATATCTATAAGTACTTTCTACTACTATCACTTATGTTCCCAATCAATGATCAATTATCCTGTGCAATGAATTCAGACTTTATAGTTTACATTTCAATTCAAATAATAATTAATAAAATAAAATATTTAATCTGTTTATCAATTATGGGATAATAATCTAAATTCAACAAGAAATTATTATTCATACTTTATGTTTGAGGGGAAAGTACTAAAATCACTTCAAAACTGTTAACCTTTACAATCACTTGGTCACTTATTAAAAAAAATGTGGCATTCCTGAGTCATTGATTTGGGGATAAAATTAAACATGTGGGAGATTGGTTCAGCCTAATTGATATTCAGTATACATATTAGACAACAGTTGAATATTCCAAACATGAAACCTTTGTTTCCAAGGGAAGCTGGGAAATAGTCGATGTTGTTAAAAAATCTTGTCTCTACCTGTTGAAGTTTAAACAAACAAAACATATCGACTTTCTAGAAGGGAGCATCCATAATAAAGCAACTTGACTTATCAAGCATTCTGGTATTCATCATATTTGAGACACATTCAATTTTGTTTCTTAATTTATTACTACTTTTGTTTGCCATTTTCAAATATTCTTCATTTTGGTAAATCAATGGATATCATGACATTGCAGTCAGAAGTAGAATTATATATTCTTAATTTCAGGAAATCTTTTGGTAACACTGATATCTATAAGTTACACAAAAATGGGCCCAGAAATATCCTTGTCAAGTGTAATTGATTCTGGTCTATACAAAAATGATATTTCCAAATAAAATGGTATGCGATACACTTTATGGACTTAATGCATTAGTAATACAGAGGACAAATGGCAACATGTAGTAAGTAAACAATATGAATATCCAGAAAATAAAACAAACATTTAATTTGTATTCTTTTTTACTTTTAACATACTCTATTGACCAAATGATGGTTTTATATTAGTTGCCATGGCTTTTTAAATGGTTTTTCATTGTACTTTTCCCAGCATGGGAAACTCAGTGGGGGAGAATTATTGTCACAAATACCATATATTGATTAGAAATTATTAAAATAAATATGACACTCACACCGTTAAAGAATCAATGTGAAGAGACAGTATACACTCTTTGCATATTATAGTTTATATTGCCATAGGCCAATACTGACATGTTAGTATACCTGGTTCAGTTGTTGTCTGTGGTTCTAGTTATTTACTTTATATCAATGTCCAAAGTGAACAACAATTTATACATTTACATTATTCAAAAGTTATCAGACACCTACTTGTTATTTGGGAATTCTATGCTATATTCATCATCAATTATGAATATTTCTAAATGGAATTATAAGATTACGAGTAAATGAAACTATACTCATATATGACTTACTCTTCATTGATTGTATATTTTTTCAAAATGTTTCACATACTGTAATGAATAATGATCCATTGTGTGCTGGCATTTTGAAATTATTTTTATATATTTAGAAATTGAAATATAAATGTATAAAACTGGGAAAAACATATTCAATACAATATTCTTCTACCGACATATTCATTTTTTACATATTTCTTCATTGAAGAATGGATGTATTTTAAAAGAAAATTCCCCTTGCCTCACATTTCACCGGAATCACTAGGAATCCACAAAATTAAGCATGTATATGAAAAATATGCATGCACTAATTCACGCATAACACTAAAACATAAAGTGCATTTTTCACAAAAGTCATTTCTTTTGAAAAATACTTGTTTTAATATTAAACTTAGTCTATTAATTTACTAATTTAGTATACTATTAAATTAAGTGATATTTAATTTCATATGATTACCTTCATTAAAATCAAAAAAAATTTAACCAAAGTTGGAAAGTTAAAATTATTTCAACTTACACGTTTATCCTTCTCAACACTTTGTGTGTTAGTATCCAAATCTCTCCTCTTGTTGCGTACTGTACTTAGTAGCAACTGTGCTTGAAAGGAATGACTAACTCCTTTTGGTTGCTTATAAAGTTTGACTGCTAGAAATTACTTGTATGATGTAGATAGAGTTAGAGAATATGCCTGTATGTCACATTATTGAGTGGTACAACAGTGTTCTATTAGATTTATATGATTGGCTTAGTCAGTAGCCATTGCAATGATGTCATGAATGTGTAGGAGTCTGGTGCAATAATTTCCATGTAGCATTGGACATTTGACAGACAGATTGACAAGCTTGGCTGATATTTAACAATTTTATTGTTCTAATTAAAGAATTTTATTGTTTTATTTTATTGTACGTTGAATGCCTCGGTGAGTCAAGACAATTTTGAGAAAATGTTTTCACTTATCCTTTTGTATTATTAATGAGCCAAATTCTAACTCAAATCTTCAATTTTTTTTATCCATTGATGTCATGAATCCTTATATCTTTTGAAACTATTACTACTCAGCATACTCTATAATTATCTTCTACAAAGAGCTTAGTAGTAGTTAGCAAGTTCATCTTAAATCGTCATTTCCTTCGAATTGGCCACAGTTGCTTAAGAGATCCAAACCAAATGAAAAATAAACTCAAAATGTCCTTTCTTTTGAGGAAAGATTGTTTGAACTTATAACAAGACAATATCTTACAAAGTCTCATCAAATCATCAATGGCACTTATAAAAACATGTATCTACATAATGTTTACAGGGTTTTCTACTAAAAATAACTTGCTTCATCAATATGGAAATAACATTTCAGTAATTAAGTTATGGATGTTACCAAAATAAATTGACTAAATGTGTGAAAAAATCAAACCCACATCAATATTTTGGAGAGTGATTACTGGAGGTCCATAAAATATTATTCTCTATATTTATAGAGCACACATATTTTTGCAAGATGTAACACACTGAATTTCTAATGTCTGTAGAAATGGCATTCAACAAATTGGAATAATACTATACAATATAACAAATGAGATTTTTACCAATTTAGTAAACAAATCACATTGCCCATTGTTTGGTTGGTCACACAATAAAATATTATGAACATATTATATCTAGTTTTGGCATGGATGTGTTTTAAAATCATAGACTTGAAATTACACATTTATATAGGTATATAGGTAAGTACCTATTTGCTAAGTATGAAAGAGAGCATATTATGTGGTCAATTCATTTACTAAACATGTCATCTCTTGTATCCATAACTATCATGGGCTTTGAAGTGGTCTGCTTTCCATAACTTCCAGTGATAAAATTGCACCTTAATATGACATACATGTAAGGCAACACTGTCTGCATTTCTTGACATATCCTGCGAAACTGTAAACATAACAATGAGATAAGTTTGGAAGGTTCCAGTTTGTTGTGCCCATTTTATATTGTATCTTAAACAGATATATCACCTTATATGCTTCAAACATTGCCAATTGATTCAAACACATTTTAATTAAAAAACTAAAAATTTTCATTTTGACTCAACTTATTTTCAATTTTCATAAAAATGAAAATAGGTGTAATTTCTTACGTTAAGAGTACTGGATTTGCACTTGATTACAATGGTATTCTGTGATTGAGCTGAAGGCCTATTAAAAGGGTTATTGTCTAACTATCAGATGCTTCATCTTTTGGGGTCCAATAATCTGAGACTATGTCAATATAATCAAATGAAGAATATCATTAATCAGGGTTAAACTCCATGAAGGTTTGAGAGGCATACAACATGCATATCATGATCAAATGTAATTTACTAGCCATATAACATTTCAGCCCAATGCCTGTTAAATACATATGAAATATACCAATCACAACTTTATTTGATAGTTGACTGCATCTTGGATTACCTAGGTATGCAATTGTCTGATGTTCAGCCTACAATATGATAATTCTTATGTATTAGGTAAGTAGAAAAACAGTCTACTGATACTAGTGTGATTGATAATCAAACTGGTGAGTATGAGTTGACTGGTGACTCATTATAATCAAAGTTGAATAAGTTACCATATATGTATGTATAATGCTAAGTTTTAGGACAATGGAATGTTATATCATTGGTAAGAGCAAAAAGTCATTATCATAGAGGTTTATGACCCAGTTTTTACTGTCTTATTCAATTATCCGTAGGATTTAAAAGTCATAATAGATGTGGGATTTACATACAGTAGCTCATTGTTAGAGTTATTACAATCAAGAAAGTGGCAATTCCAGCAAATCCCCAAAAAATGATATGAAAATGAATGAAAGCCACCTATGAATAAAGCACATCAAATAATGGAGCATTTCAAATGATTGATATTGGAACAAAAATGAAGTGTATTTGAACAACAGGGGGGTCATTAGCCTAAAGAATTAGTGTTCCACAATGAAGTAAAACTATTCTAAACAATGACCCTTTTGAACCCCATCTATGCCAATCTAATTAACAAATACAAATGTTTTGTCAATGGGATCTGGTCAGAGTGTATTACATATTATTATGCTAAATATAGTGTTACATCACAGTTATGAGGGGGAAGGTGAGTCACAGATTAACTGTTCAAATACATTTAGTAATCCTACATTGTACTTTTGAGAAGCTCCCTAATCTAGATTGACTTTCTGTATAATGTTATTAAAATGGTACAACTAAAAATATATGTAATTGTATTTCCAAATTTAGTTGGTAGATGTATCATAGTGTTGGTTTTTGTTCATCAGCACCATATTTGTGATTTTTAAGACTAAACAGTGTGATACTCTCCCGAGAATCCTATCTCTTAAAAAATGTCACATACAATGCCTGAAATGAGTTGAACGTTTCAAAATTTACACAGACGAAATAGATTCACATGTTTTCTGATAACTTCATGGTAATTGAGTTGTCACACAATCAGATACATCTGAGAATCATAAAGTAGGTGATGACATTATACATATCCTGTGAATCAACACATAAAATATGTACCAGCAATACAAATAACTTCATTGTGTTTGCATGATGAATGCACTAACATCCAGATATATCACTTACTGCTATATTGCAAATATTCCTCAGATAACTAATTAATGGGAAGGCCTTGTGTATGGAATGCCATATTTACTGTTTAAAGGCCCAATATAAATTTAAACCACTATGGCTTAATCTTAAAACTAAATCATAGAGGTCACATGTATCTTTTATTCAAACATGACCGTGCTCTATTCGAATTTCTCAACCAATCAGAATGCAGCATAGCCAATATAGAACGTTCTCTAATTCTCCATAGATGCACGACCATGCTCTATTCAATCTGCAAATTGCATTGTTTTGAGTGACGTCACATAGGTGCACAATTTTTTGATATGCTAAAACATCTAGTCGCACATTAGAGTATTGAAATAGTGGCCTTTGTTCAAATTCCACAAGTGGTAAGTGTAGTTAAAATTTTCAAGTTTCATTTATAAAATGGGGGTAAATTTGAATATTTAAGAAATAAAAAGCTGACAATGTTTTTCAAAAATCTCAAAATAGCTTTTAAGGTCACGAAAAATAGTAAATGAGTAACAAAAAAAATTATCAAACCTTCCACTGTAATAATGGAATATGAATGGTGGGAAGGGGGTTCTTTACACATTGGATTATGATTTGGCATTTTTAGCTTTTTTCTGATGACTTGTGTACACTTAGATGTTTAATATTTTCATGCTGGGCTCTGTAACAAGTTTGTCCTTTCCATTTGGCTCTTGTGTATACATTTTATATCAATTGATTAACTAAAATATCAGGTATTGAAGGCAGCTTAACAAGTCAACATGCTCTGTATTCCTATCTATTTACCTCTACTTGCCCCTGGTGCTGTCACATTTTAAACTGGTACTCTTAGTTTCAGAGGAAATGTATTGTGCTTCTCTCATATTGCACTTATATATATTATTAGTTCATCATAAATAAAAGCAGTTTACTGTTATGAATTGTTGATATTAACTCTGTACCCAAAAAAAAATTTTATTACATAATATGATACACATTACACATAATAAGACACAAGAATGTAATTTATTTCACAAATTGATAGTAATTATAGATATCCAGCTAATGGGTGTTATAGGTACTCCTGGATTTCTACAAAACATCTACATACTAATACAGATCGATGACAATATTTTTACATACAATGAAAATAAATAGTTCACATGGTATAGCATCAGGTAGAATGCCATTTACTTTATTCTATTTTAGTTCTAACTTTTTTATTCTTGTCTATAGTTTATGCAACCACCTACATATTATCAGGTTGCAAGTATATAGGTAAGATGACATTTGTAAAATCAGGTGAGTGCAATCATAAAATATCATTTAAAGGTTGAGTAAACAGTGCAGAGACGTATTTGCAACGATCATGGACCTGGTGTCAAAATATATCGAAGTTTGGATATTTCATCAAGGCTAACATCTATTTTCACGAGCTACAAAGAAAACCCCCAAATACCTAATTTCTGCCGATATTCACAATCACTAATCATCCTAAATCCCCGGGAATCTTCTCCGGAAACCATTAAACATAGACAGAAAAAATGCTCACGCACCTTTTAATGATTTCCCGGTGATATTGTCAGTGGATTCCAGCCCTGTTTTCACCTAACGTTCTATCCAACATTTTGTTTGATATACCATGCGTGTGTCAAGAAGACCTTGACTATGGGTAGATGTTTTAGTCTTCGATTTTTTTATTTTTCTTCGTCAGTGAGCCAGGCTAACTGCAAGAGTCGTCGGTAGTAGACTGTCGACAGCGGTCATATCGTGTACCATGCATATGGTTATATCAGACAACTGCGGTTATACTGTAAACATGCTGACATACGGTGTTATCTTATCTCAGCTGCAGTAAGAATCTTAATGGCGGAGATTCAGAAATGTTTCAAAAAACAAAATGCGGGGCGTCCATCCTTTCAATTGCTTATTCAGAAGTCTTTTTGCAAGTCTGATTGGTGGTATTCAACAAGTGCATATATTTTAAGAAAATAGGTATGGCAAAGAAGACATTAGGCCAAACGTTGCACTAATAGCTCGGGAAAGGTAAAAAAAATGACTCTCAAATTTCTTCTATGGTCTCTATTGAACCTTTAAGTTAAGGTGATATGATAACATCAGGTGTATCGTATGCAAATCTGTCAAGAAATTAAAATGAACACATTCCATTTTCAAATTTCTCATTTGGGATGTTGTGTTTCACTAAAAAGGTTATG